ACCTCTCAAGACTCTTCAATTGAAAGGAAGAGGCCGCAGCTGCATAGCTCCCTTGTGTGGCCAGAAGGTGAACCAGCAGCCAGGCTCGCACTGCCAGGCTGAGTATAAGGATCAAAATGTCCTAGCTGAAAAGTAGTTGAGGAGAAACTGAACCCACTAGGTAGAATGAAACTGAGGTCCAGAAGGGGTGAAGTCGCTTGTCTAAGTGTACACAGACAAGTTTTCTATAACTTTCACTTCTGGTCGTGTGCCATTGCTGTACATCAAAATCCCCTGGGGAGCTTTCTCTTCACATGGCTGTACTGATACGTAATTAGCATATGATATACTAAACAGACTTGGTAAAATTGATATAATGCACACACCCATGAAACCACCATCACAATATTTCCCTCACCCCATCTCAATTGACCCCCGAATCAACTAGGGAGCTTTCAAAAACTCCAAATGCCTGGCACTGCACTTAGGAAGAACCAGATCAGTAGACCCCAGTAGCCAGACCAAACATCAGGATTTTTAAAGCCCCTCTGGGTGGTTTTAATGTGCAACCAAGGTTAGGAATCATGGAACTACATAATCTTACCATTTCTGCATAGACCAACCTCTGTGTTGGTTTTCAAATATAAGTATCAAAGTAACCTATGGAGCTTTAAAAACATACATGCAGAGACGCTCCGCTGGTTACAGTTCCAGAATTATCAGGTCAATGGGGGAGGAGCATGGAGTTGATATTTTTAACAAGCCCATGAAGGTCTGGAATAGAAGAAAGGCCTTTCATATATTCATTTTTCTATACTTCTTAAATTTTACAATTTTATTTAAAAGGTAGCTAATTTGTCTAATAGCATTAATAAATTTTCATTGTTAAATTGGCCAAAATGTAAAGTTTCAAAAAGAAAACCTCTTTATGATGGACATCTTAACCAGTACACTAAGGCAAGAAGACTAAAGCATGAGAATTGGAAAGGAAAAAAAACCAAACCTTTCATGACATACCAACGGTATTATGGTGAATAGTAAATTTAGAAAACAAAAGAATCTAAAGAATGATTGTCACAGTTAAGAATTAAATGAATTAGTGAGATTGCTAGGTAAATATACATAACCACAGTTATAGTTTTACATATTAGCAATAAATATTAGAAAATATTTTTACAGACATTTACACCAGCTTTTAAAAATGAAGTACCCAGCAATAAATCTAACAGTTATGTGAGAAAAACTATAAACACCTCATTGAAAGAAAGTAAAGACGACCTCGTAAGTTCCAATAAAATTCCCAATGGGTTATTTCATTTATTTGCTTGTTTATTTCTGTGGCAGTTGCAAGTTGATTTCTAAACTTAATAAGGAAATGGCACAGGGCCAATAACCAAGATACATCTGAAGAGCAAGGATGTAAGAGGACTTGCTCCAGCAGACACCAAAAGTAACTGTAAAGCTATGGTGAGTAAAACAGTACATGATTACCACAGGACAAATAGACCTGTCGAATAAATAGAAAGCCCAAGAATAGACTCAGACACAGAATCTTGACTTATGACAAATATAGCACTTAAAAGCAGGGTTCAGGTAGGATTTTTAATACATATAGAGCATGCTCAATAAATACTATATTGGCTATCCGGGGAAATGAAATTGGATCATCTGTCACATTACATGTAAAAATCAATTCCATGTGAGTTGTAAAAATAAATGTGAACAGCAAAACAATATAGCTTTCAGAAGATAAAATGGAAGAATAACTTTAGGACATCAAGGTAAAAAATTAACAAAACACAAAGAAATGCCAACTGTGAATGAAAAGATTGGTAATTTTGACTGCATTAAAGTTGAGAAATTTTAAGTTCATCAAAAGATGTCACTAAAAGAGCAAATAGGAAAGCCATATAGTAGGAGAAAGTATCTGCAACACATATGATTAACAAAAGACTTGCATCTAGAACATACCTAAAGCTCCTGCAAGTCTGTAAGAAAAAGAGAACCCAATAGAAAATAGGCAAACAGCGGTGTATGTAAAGACAGTGTTCATATAAATGTTGTCCATATTATCTACAAACTAGAGCCAACCCAAACATCCACCTATAATAGGTAATTAATAAAGAAATTGTGATAGAGTCATACAATGGGATCCTAAGCAATAATTGAAATGAACAAAGTTCATATGCATCTTTCTGAGTAAAAGAAACCAGACTGAAGGAAAACATTCTGGATAATTTAATTTGTATAATTTTTTTAAAAATTAGTCAAAACTATACTTTACCATGGAGAGAAGCATACATAGCTGGTGAAACTATAAAGAGAAGTAAGACAGAAGAAGTCAAGATAGTGGTTTGGGGCTAGGATGGGTGCGGTCCTAATTGAAAGGGGGCATATGGGCAGCTTCTGGGATCCCGGTGATATCTTATTTCTTTAACTGAAGGGTTACATAAGCATCTTCGTTACAATATTTTGTTAAGAGAACACACTATATTTAATGTACTCTGTAATATTTCACAATTCAAAACGTGTTTCACAAGTGTGATTTATGGACTGATTTGGGAACCACTGTGGTGACCAAATCAGCAGAGCAGCAAACCAGAATAGGTTATTTGCCTTAGTAACTTGAATCCTATGCATCTAAACAATTTTGTACATTATTTAATAAGCTAATTAATGAAGAAGATGATTGATGAATCTACAACCAATACATAAAACTATTTTTTCCTGAGAACCTCATGAATGGGCTATTGTTCATTTAAAAATGTATTCTATTAAAATACCAAATACCTAAATATATCAAAATACAATAAAACTAAATAAATTAGCAAAGATGTAGCTATAAATACTGACTTTTAGCGGGCAGATGAGTGGAACGTACACAGACACAATACTTTCTTAGTAAGAACGATTAAAATGTCTCTCAATGAGAGGTAACAGGCAAACATAGTCATAGATGCAGCATAATTATTGCTTTGAGTTAAGTCAAGGTTCAGATGCTTAGAATACATCACTTTTCAAGGCTCAATTCACTTCTATATTCAGGGCTCTTCTGCTACTCTTCACAGGCTATGCAAAGTAGCAGAATATTTCTCATGTTTCTGGATGTGGGCAATACTGTTTTTCAGATAAACTATTTGAATAGATGGTAATTATGACTAGCACAATTGTACTCGTGAGGAAATTAAAACTTAAACAGGTTAAATAACTTGCCAAGGTCACAAAGCTAGTAGGTAAGCAGAAAGTTTGGGATAGGAAATCAAATCTGACCCCCAATCTTCTATGACACCATGTTGACCATGTTGACTATATCTATCACAAATAGATGCCATCCATCTACATGTAGATACACACTTTCCTCCTTCCCTCTTGGTCTCTCTCTCTGTCCTTCCCCCACTCTTTAGAAAGAAACAGCCACAGAGAGATCTTTACCTATAAAGATGTGTACTAGAATTCCTCTCCCTTTTATTTACCACTTCAAGTAAGGATTTCAGGAAACATTTCAGGGAAGCATTTGCAAATCAAAGCAGGCAAGATTTCTCAGAAGAAAGCATTTTACATTTTCACTGGATGGAGTAAACAATGACAATAATAAATGCTTTCAGTTAGAGTCAGCCCAGATAAAAATTTCAGCTTATCTGGAAAGAGCTTTCCCCACCAGTTACATCCTTGTATTGTGTTCTTTTGCTATTAAAGGAGAGCAAAGAAGGAAGGAGAAGAGGCAGGAGGGAGAGGGAAAGGGAGAAAGAAGAATGAACTGACTACCTTGCACCCAGTGACTTGAGTAGCTAAAACTAGGTTAAAAAAGAAAGCTGCTTCTTTCAATTGACAATAAGGTCACTGGGCCATTAGGTAACTGGTTCAAATATCAAACATTCTCACTTCACATCTCAAAATGTCCTTATCACCCCCAAGAGGTAGCCCTAATGGTTAGAGTATCCATTACAGGTAAGTATCAAGAGAATTTTCAGCCATTCGGGATTGTGGGATAGGGTTCTGAGGTATTACAGTTAGGGGCAACTTCCCTCAGCAGAAGTCTCCCAACTTAGTACAGGAGACTGGGACACATTAACTCTTTCTACCCTATCCCTATGAAACTATGACCCACTCCTGATTTTCTTTCTGGAATCAGAATATACAAATTCACGGTCTAACTTGTCTTTTTACCAATGCAACACCATAGGACTAGATTAAGCCTAGAAACTTGCACAGATGGTACAAATGTGCAATTTCATGGCCCAGCAGACGTTGGAGACAGTCTCTACTCTTAGACCCTGTCCCCCAAAGACAAGTGAAGGTAATAACAGAATCTCAAAGTAATTATAACCATAATAAAAAGAAGAAAAACATTAGAGGCAGAAAAATAAACTTTTTAAGCCTGAAAGAATTCAAGCTAATATACACATATGAAATAACCTCTGTCAAAATCTGAGGTCTAACTTCTGGCCAAGGGCTGCAGTTGTAAGAACCTCAGATCAAAAAGGCTCTCTAGACTTGGCAAAAGGTTTCTTATGACCATATAGCAGTGAGTCTGACTATAACTCAGAAGCTTATACAACTGCTACTCTGGGCAAAGATGCATTTGGGGGTGGAAATTTCACTTAGATCAGGGAGACAGGGTAAGGAAAATAATAGTTTTTAAATTCAGAGTGTGCAAACTAGAAGGGGTTCTTATCCTCTTGGTGTTTAGTTCTTGGACCAAATTTCTAATCCTTTTTCAAACCCCCCTGCTGAGATCCGTGATGAGATGAAAGAGAGAAAGTAGAGGAAGAGGAACAAGAGTTCAACTTCAGGATTCTGGTGTCTACAGAGAAAAACAAACAGGATGAGTCTGTATGTTTGATTTTGTGTCATCTGGATGCTGGAAGAGTGTTAAGGAGGGTAAAACAACAAAGACCTGCTCTTTCTGAGCAACCTAAGTTAAGTCTACTTTGCAGGTCACACCATGGGCTTAGTGCCATAGCAGTGGAGGTGGTGGTGTAGTAGCCTCAGGGGCCATTTCTCAGCCTGGAAGTGGGGCTTCTCTGTCTCATACCTTGCCTTTGGCATGATCTGCATGCAACTCTGTTGTGAGGGGAGAGGGAAGTGAAAAGGAGCTGCTTATATAGCCCCTCCCAACCTGGTCCACTCTACCTAAATAAACTCCTGACAGTATACACAAGGCTTGCTTAGACTGCTTCTACGTTCCATCTGTTGAACTGTTCATTATCAGGTGTGCCCAAGCTTCTGAACAAATCTGACCACATAGATTTATTTATTTATTATCATTACCATTATTTTGCAGTGCTGGAGATTGAACCCAGTGTGTCACATGTGCTAGGCTAGTACTCTACTATAGTCCCAACTATAATTTTTCTAAGAGAAAGCAAAAGTCCACATTTCAGGTAATAGTGGCCCTAGTCTTATTCATATGACAAGAAAGATCATTCAGAATACAAAAGCATGCGATTGACAAGAGAGGAATATGTATTTGTAAGGAGGAGGCAAACATCTCAGGGGACTGTGCTGGCTGCATCCACTGTGTGGTAGACCAAAGGACTCTTCTTGACATCTCTTCTTGTTAGCCAACCATCTTAAAAAGTTTGGGGGCAAATAACTCACCTCCTTTTAATGCTGTTCTGGAAAGCAGCCATATTTGAGAATCTACTGAAAGCTATTGACCTTTGTCTTAGAAACACACACACACACACACACACACACACAAACGGAATTTGGTGAATTTCTACATCTAGTAGAAGCCATACACAGAACCTCCTCAGGGGTCTGTTGACCTGACGTTAAGAACCTGTGGTCTAGGAGGGAAAAATATTTAACATTTATTGAGTGCTCACTATATTGCAGGCACTATTCTAGGTACTAATCAGATTTTCTTGATAAATTGCAACAACCCTATGAAGTAGAGTCTACTGTTCTCTATTATATTGATGAGAAAATGGTGGCAGAGAGTGTCACTTGCTCTAGGACAAACAATCCGTAAACAAAAAGACCCAGGTTTTAAACTCTGACTTTGGAGAACTTTCTCTTAGCCACTAAGCCACAGCTGTGAAATGAAACAAATGAAAGTAATTTTTTTTTAATTTTATGTTACTGAGACCATGATCACAGTGTCTTTCTTTTTTTGTAGTGGGGGAATATGAATAATCTGTCTCTCCAGAAAGCTGAGAAAGTAGAGATGATGTGACACTAGTTGGAGAAGAAGTCCTTGACCAAATGTCTCACATCTACAACTAACTGCTGTTCATGGCACAGCATAAAACACAAGCTAGTTAGGCCCTCTACTTGGCTTCCAAAGAGCAGGCCTGTGGCATTGACATTAACCCTTGAGCTTTGAGCTCTTGATCAAGTAGCTAAGCTTACATCTAGGGTCACAATATCTTAAATAGTATAGCTTAAATATCTACAGGGCCCAGAAAAATAATGCAAATGTAAGCCTCAGTGATGGGTGAGGGTAGGATCACGACCAACTGGAAAGTGTATGTCCTGCCTCAGAACATTAACATTTAACAAAAACAAACCCAATGAGGGTCACACAAAAGACACAGCCAACTTGAGAGCCATCAGTTTGTGACCTATGAGTAGACCATTTCCGTGCCATTTTCCAGATCTTTCCAAGTCAGGAATCAAGGATGCAGTCTGTAAGCAGGGGATACAAGGTGACCCACATGACAATGTTGTGACTCTCATTTCATTAGAACCATTCTTTTTTAGTGCTAGCCACTGAGTAGCAGGTCACAAGCAGAAAGATTCAGATACCAGAGAGGAGGAAATATCAGGTACCGATAGCACATGTCACATACCTCATACATAGGGAGCATTCGAGGTCAGATGCGTCAAAAGATGCAAGCGGAATACTGAGAGCAGGCTTGTCCCCCTGCTCTGGGGGAAGATCTGTGATTTAGAGAGCAACAAGTCAGAACTGAACCAACTTTGGCTTCACAGATAATGCTTCTGAGACAAAAAAAAGAAAAAGACAAAAAACCTGTTTTTCAATTTGCCACTCTAGCCACCTCCCTAGGTTTATTTAGTGGTTACCTGAGCCACTGAGAATGTGCTTCCCTGTAGTAGCTCCCAGAGTTTTCCAGCAGCCCCCATAGACAGAGAAATGAAAGCCCAAGAGCTCTGGGGAATTACTCTAATGTACTGGGCACTTCACTCAACAGCAAAAGCAGCAGCAGCTTCATGAATTGAGCCAGGTCTTCAAAGCTGGGACTGAAACTTGGCACTGCCAACCTCTCTTGGAAAGATATGAAGCTGCAGCTGCTGCTTCTCAGGATACGACTGAGTGAGGCCTGATCACACTTCTCCTGTCCTACATTCTTGGAACAGGGATGAGGGCAGAAGAAGTTGACCTGGAAGGAAGTGACACTGTCAAAGACATGAGATGTCATTACTTGATACTGTGCTTGACCTTGGCTTTCCTTGATAATCATCTTCAAGTGCTTACAGTGTACTAGGCATCACGTGTGATCTCCCAGAAACCTCACAGCACCCCCAAGGTCACATATCTGGGAAATGCCAAAGCTGGACCTGGAGCCAGAGGAGCCCTCAGGTAACTGGCATATATCCGTAAGCCCAGTCATCTGCTCCAAGCCATTTTCTCCTAGGATAGAATCAGTACCTTGCTTGGAGGCTTTATTAGGCACCTCGGTGTCTTTTTGGAGTTCAATTTGGCAATGCTTCCTTTTCTTTTCCTGGTGTTTACCAGTCTTGATGGAGGCAGCATTCAGCTTCTCCTCCTCTTCTTCTTCCTGGCCTTTCGTGTTATCTTGTTGATCATCTACCTTTACTTCAGCTGCGTTCACCTGGCTGCTCCTGTCTCCCATGGCTGCTGCTTCCTCCTGACTAGAACAATGCGGGAGCTCTGGATTTTCCTAGAGGAAGAAAGAGCCAAACATCAGAATCTACTTAGGAACAAGATTGTCCTCTGATGTTCTTCCCCAGAAGGGAAAAGAAAAAACAACATAGCACTGATCCTTACTCCTGATCACTTAGTGGGCAAATAGCTCAACTAAGGGGCAGTCATGAGGCTTATTTCCTACTTCCGGTCAGCACGGCATCTGTGACACAGGCATGCCCAGCTTGAGTGGAGTAAGGAAACTTCTCTAGGCAAGGACAACAGGCGTGGAGGAAGAAATACTCCCTGCGCAGTGGGAGGGAGGGAAATGCAAGGGAAACCCCACTCGCCCTCCTATCGGAATCATTTCCCAGTAACCACTTTAAGGCATGCAGTAAGGGTAGCTCCTGTCACTTAATACTTCCTCTCACCCTCACTGCCATTCATAGCCATCTGCAATCCTCAAATTCCAGCTTCAAAAAGACTTTTGGTAAGGCTTTGGCCCAGGTCTGTCTGCAGGGCTGCCAAATCACCTCATGCTCTATATGTCTATGTTACACTGATCAAACAGACAAGGGAAAACCTTGATTAGATTTGGGTGAAAAGTCCAGGAAAAGAGGCAAAATCATTTGGCAAAATGATTGCTATCATCTCTTGCTTTTTAAAGAATTTCTTTGAGGAGGATATTCAAAAACGAATCTAGAAATAAATCCGATGAAGTGTTTATGCAGATTTACCCGGAGAACCTTTCTACAATCTAAATCTATAGTCCACAGGTCAAAACGCTCATCTTGTTGCTTTTCCTCCAACCCCTACCAAAACTTGGTAGACACACGTCAAAAAAGGGATATACAGTTATAAGACAATGTTGAGGCGAGGAGTAAAAGGAGTGGGCTTTCTCAGTCTCTATTCTGGAAAGTTCAGGTTTTCTTCTGGACTATAGAAATATTAAACTCTTCACTTTCTCTGACCCCAAGGCATTGTCCAAACAGGTGTACACTGCCTTGCAAAGCACAGCTGGGGTGGAAATCTATGCCCTGTTCTCTAGCTGACTCAATTAGAGAGCCAGGTGTGCTATTTTCCTACATTTCAGAATAAGAACATGTAGAAGTTCAGGCACTTGGGTTCATTCACTATTACCATTCTCGCTCATGAAATAATGACCACTGGGGGCTCTCTGATTTCAGGACATACTCCAAGTTCTGCCAGTAAGAAAAGACAGGCATGCCTGCATTTTATTCCTTCTCCACAGTAGGGACAGAAACTGGGAAAATTGAGTATCTATGGCTTACATATAGGTGAAGAACATCAGGCACAAATGAAAGGGAAACTGCTGCCCAAAGGTGCCCAGGTAGTCAGTGCTAAACTCTGCCTTTGAGTCTGGGCTTCTGAGCCCCAGCTTCTGCCCACTTAGCCTGTGCTAGAAAAGCCAGCACCTGGAGTCCATCTCTCTGTGTTCTATTCCCTTATTTTCAAAGAAAGGCACAAATATTTATCTTTCTCCCAAAAACTTCAATTCAACACTCTTTCCACATCTCTTTCTTCTTCACTGCTACAAATATGATAGGGTGACTACTGATGTGTAAGGTATAGTGCAGGAATATGAAATTATCTCCATTTGGGGATCAAATAGAGTTGTTCCACAAGGATCTCAGCTGATGCTCAAAGGTCAGTAAGCTAGCGCAAGCAAAAAGCAGGAAAAGAGGGCAGTCACACTATTCCCAGACTCTGCCCCAGAGCTGGAGCCAATAAGCCCATCCATAGTGTGTAGCTCCAGGGGAAGAGGGTCAATCCCTTTGTCATTGTATCAAATCTCTCTTTGACTGGATCTGACCAAGACTAAAAAATAAATGTAATAAAGAATAAACTTTGGGACCATGCCTGAAACTCACAGTTGTGTCTTTAAGAAATAACCTTTTAGCAAAGAACACAGTCACTACTGACTCCATTTTTTTCTTTTTCAGGAACTAAAATAGGAAAAGTTGGGCTCACTCCCTGTGTTTGCCCACAAAACAGCCAAATGAAGCGTCACAAGCAAGCTGGGTGAATCGAGTTTTACCTGTGACAACTTTGGTAGATTATGGCTGGTGCCTTCAGTAGCCATTGACTCTACGTGTTCCTTTAATCTAGGGTGAGGTGCCAACAGCTTCAGGATATCGGGAGGGTGTTCCTGAGAATCCCCCGGGACTGATGGTGAAAAGAAACTAAGGAGAAGCTGTGACATAAAACAGAAGACTTCACTACTTAAGTTTCTACAGGTGCTCAGGTGAAGGGGGAAGGGCAGAAGGATGGGGGCACAGCTTATAGGGCAAAATTCCAGGGAGGAAGCCTTGGACCAGTGTCCCTGGACATAGCAGGGCAGGGGTCTCTGCTTCAGTGTGCATCGGAATCACCTGAGGAGCTTATGAAAAAGCCAGGTTCCTCATTCCCACTCCTGTCTCTGGAGGGCTGAAGTGTGGCCCAGAAATCCGGGTTTTGAGAAGGCACTATAGCTACCTCTGTTACCTAGCCAAAGTTAAGAGCCACCACTCTGATGCTATCATGCTGCAGAAATATTTGCGGTGGCATTTAAAAACTCATCTGAAAGAAAAGACACAGAGTGGTGAAGTCAGGAGAAAAACCTCAGTTGTCAGGAACCTGGAGTCATATCCATAACTGCCCAGTGGACAGAAGCCTACAAAGGTCTCCTAAGTTCCTCACTGCTTCTTTTCTTTCTCCTCCCCACCCCCACCATCACTCCTGCCAGGGACCTGAGCAGTGAAGTGTTAGGAAAGCAGAACTCAAACTTCCTCCCTCTTCTTCCATCCTTCCCCCATTTGGACCTTCTCTTTCCAGAAAATGTTAGATAAAGTTCAAGTACCCAGGGCAGGCAGTTTCCAGCCTATTGCTGGTTTTGCTTGCAATTGGACATGATGGGAGGGTAGATGAGAAGAAGCATAATGGACTGGGATTCAAAGATATGCATTCAAGTGAGGGCTGCACCATTAGCTGTCAACATTCTTGCTTTAATTCTCTCCTGTACCAGCAGGGAATATATACATATATGTACATATCATCTGTGATGTATATGATATCATATTACACGTGATACATATGTATGGTATATAATATATAACACAAGGAAAGCAGGTCACTGAGCTTCTAAAACATATTCAAGTGTTTGTACCTAGCAGCCCTTGCAGACTTTGAGACCTGCTAAAGGTGCCCAAACCCTTGTTCAGGCTACACAGTCAGGGTATTAACTGATTAAGCGAATTTGACAGAACACCACACTCCAGTTTGATTTATTCTCTTGCTGGCCCCCATCAGTTTCTTCACACTGTCCCTTTGGATGCCAGCACTTACCATGAAGCCAAACCCTGCTCAGCCTTCAAAATCTCAGCTCCTTCCCTTACTACTCCCATCTCTCTGATCGTACCTGCCCTTTCATGTTTTCTACAGACCATAATACAACATCTTAAACTACACCATCTTATGTTGTCCTGGAATTGTGTCACAGAAATAAGTTTTTCTCTCCTGACAGATGGCTAGCTCTGAAGGGCACAAAACAGATGCCTAATATATACCACACTGAATGGAATTGAATTAAGACAGTTATTCTTTCCAGAGCCCAAAGAAAAGTCTAGCATTCAGGTCCAAAGTTCTTAGACAGATCTCAATGTTTCTTTTCAGCTCTGGAAAACCCATTCCCTGGGTATAAGCTGGGAAAGGAGTGAGATGGGGAGACACTCACAGTTTCAAAGGCCATAAATACCAGCTTTCAGAGGCACCTGTGCCCCAGGAGCCCTACCGAGGGGCCCAACAGGACCAACCCACTTCTGAAGCAGTCTCCTCAAAGGAACACGGTGTTCTTCAGGGGCTACATAGCATTCCAAGGTACAAGGATGAAAGGGCACAGGGTGGCAGCAGAGAAAAGGAGGCCAAGGCGAGAAATCAAAGGAAACAAGGCAGAAATAATAGCAGCAGTTCCCTTCTTCACTTTGCTACCTAAGATCTCTCTCTAGGCCTTCTCAATGGCTTTGGAAAACAAAAGTTGGGGTCAACTCTCAGTGAGCATAATCATTCCACATGAATGAAAGTCAATTCCACTGCAGCTTCAGCCTTAGAAAGACCCAACTAGGTCAAGAAGGAAAGAAAAAAGAATCCGAGGTAAAAACAAACACTAAAAAGAAACACAGGGCTGTGAGTTCTAAGGCTGCTTATTAATGCCAAGTGAAACTGGACCATTTTTGTGAAATCTTTAGCCCTGAAAGTAGAACAGTCCAGTGAATAAGTAAAGCTGAGGCCCCTCAGAGTTCTTAAATGGCTGCTACAGCCTCATCACACTCAGCAGAAATTTGCCTCTAAATTCTTATGCTAACTTCAGAACTCTATAACACTCATTGCAGGCACATGCTCACTTGTATTGTCTGGCATTAATATTAGCAAACATAAAATTGTAAGTTCCTTGAGAAATTTATGCCTCTTTGGGTCTCCAGAGCTTCACACAATGCCTTGCTTCTCATCCTATCAGATAGGTGTGGAAATGGCAACAGCCCATCTATAAAAGCAAACTGGAGAGAGAGGTCAGTCCAACTGATGATACCAGAACCTTAGGCCAACTGGGGAAGGAAAAAAGAGAGGTAAAGAAACCATTCATCTTGAGACCAAGACCTGCCTCTTGCAGGCTTTGTATATCCTGTTCCCAAAGTCAAGTTCTTTCCATCCAAGAATTTGATAGTTCCACTGTTACTGCTTACCCAGCCCCATCAGTAAGTGCTCAGACTCTGACATGTCCTCCTGGGATAGCAGAAAGTAGGAGTAGTGAAGAGGGCAGACTTTGGAAGCAGTCCAAGTTTGAATGTTTTCTAATCAGTCACTAGGGGTGTGACCTCAGAAAAGTCACCAAGAATAAGCTTCCTCATCTTTCTTATTTGCAACATGGGGATAAATACCGGTACCCTCAGAGAGAAGTAGTGGGAATTCAATTATCTCTTCTTCAAGCCCCTAATACAGGAAATGCTCAAGAAATGTTAATACACCATAGGCTGCATTTCAGATTTGGGGAAGGATCCACAGCTTGAAGAAATTCTTCCTGACTCATGCTCCTCTCAAGAAAACCTTGTCCACACACCCAAAACAAGTCAAAGCAACTTCCCAGACAGGAAATTCTCCGTTAGAGGCATAAAATCCACAGCCCAGCTTCCATCAAATTTATTGATTTTGCTAAAGATTCCTTTCAAGAGCCTTCAGAAACCAGTCCTGTCTCTTGCTCACTTTCTTCATCCACTGTACTGCCAAACCATACAGGGACAGAAGGACTTGTGGCCTGATTGTGAGTAGGAGAATGGGGCACAAGAGAGTAGACACAACCACAGACCTGTCAGCATCCAACTTCCAGGCCAATTAGCCAGACACCAGGAGAATAAATTGCAAAACAAAAAACAACAAAGTTCATGAACTGAGGGTGTGTGATCCTTCAATCATACTTTTAGTATTTCATGCAATTTTTTGTCACAACCACATTTTCCTGGGATCCAAGATTTGGAATGACTATTTGGATTATATTGTAGTGGTCTCTGCCTTGCCTTTGTGAGAGTGTGTTTCATTTCTAACAAAGGAGGTGAAGGTTAGGGTTCTGCATATGACAGGGGAAGAGGAGACCATCAACATCCCTTCCTAGGAGTTGACCAGCCTGTGTGGCTGATGAAACTGTAATTCAGCCAAAGAAAAATTATACAGCTGCAGGCAGCTTCACACCCCAGATTTCTCATTAACAGTCAGAATCTCCTGAGCGAGCCTCCATCTCCAGGTTAAGGTATTTGCTTTTGTTTGGTTTTATATTCCACAGACAACGTAGACCCTGAGTTAAAGCATTCCTCACAGGCCCATACAAAATGCAGGAACTGTGCAATCTGATTGCACACACCAGAAGAACAGCGTTTCTGAGCAATCAATTGACTGTGTTGTATTCCTCCCATCCCCTAAACCTGGAAGACTCCAAATGCCAGGGAGGGCAGCGTCCTCATTCGCCTCCCCAGAGAAAACAGAGAAGTGGGGGTCCACTAGACGACCGGGCCTGATGTCATTCCAACTCACCCTTTGTGCTTCCCATCTTGCTCTCTCATTCTTTCCGTCAAGGGATACGCAGTAGATAAACTCTCTCAGGGCTTCTTCCACCTTGCCTAAGGTGGCCAAGGCTTGTGCTTTTCTGAAGTGTGCCTAGAAGAAAACATCTTAATCACCTTCTTAATGCTGCTACTATTAATAACCATTACTGAGTACTTACTGAGCAGTCACTATTGTGTGACTCTTTCATCTTCAGCCCTAAAATGTGGACAACTTTTCTGAATCCCATTTTAAAGAAGACAAAACTGAGATCCAGAAAAGTAACTTGCCCAAAGTCATACAGCTGGCAAAATGTGGAAGATGGATTTGAACCTGGAGCTGAATACACCAAAGCCTATATTCTTAACCAGTGCACCACACTTTGCCCTCTCACCCACCATTGTATGAGGCATGACAAACATAGCCAGAAGCCCCATTTGACCATATACTAACACAGCTTTCAGGGCCTATCCAAGTATGTCTTCCTCTGTAATGGCTTGTAAGCAGAGACCTAGTTGACAGGAGTAGCTTGAGAAGGCACCTAGACTTGGTGACCATTTTGCAAAAGAAGGAGCATGACCCCTCTAAGAGTTCAAAGTTTGCTAGTTGCAAATGGAACTGGAACTGTGGCTTCAAGACACCCAGAACATTCTTCCCCACAAAGCAGACTTTCTCATGAAAGAACACACACGTTCACCCTGACATTAATGCAGAGTGTACAGGCCTGAGGCAGGAGGATAGGGAAGTGTAGGTTGGCCAAGAAAGGGTAAACGGGTGCTAGTCCAAGTTCTGCCTTAGGGCATATCCCAAGCCCCACCTAGGACAAGCTCCCTTCAGTAAGCATCTGGATGGGAACATCCTTGGTATCCCCTTTTAGTGGTCAGCTTGGTGGTCACTGCATCACGATAAAGGAGGATGTTTACGCAGAGGGAAAAGTTCTGGAACTAGTGTGTGCTTTGAGGGCTGGGGAACCTGTTCCCAGAAGACCTTCTGAGACACCCCCAGGTCCTCAAGATGGTAGCAGGTCCATAATGCTTGATCTGAAATTCCTGGAGGCAAAAGTTTTTGATAATCCAATATTTTCACAAGCTTGGCATCAAAATTCATTTGGTGACAAAATCTGGCCTAAACTGATGTAAAGTGTTGTAAAGGATTTGTCCTACTTAGTGTGAATTTTCATGTGATATGCTACAGAGATGGTTGATTAATTAGTGTGATTGTGATACTGTCCCGGAGCTCACTTATTATTATTGTCTTTCTAAAACCAGAAACATTCTGGAATCAGAGAACATCTGGCCCCATGAGATTCAGATAAACCATCATGGCCCTGGTTTTGGATAAGTTGCTTTCCATCTCGCAAAATGTTCTCTTGTCCATGCTCACTTGGGATCCTTATACATTCCTTTGAGGCAATCAGGGCAGATAGCAATAGCTTCATTTTATAAATAAGGACACTTGGGGTTCAAAGAGTGAAGTCACTTCTCCATGGTCACTTTGCTTGCAAGTAGTAGAGCCCAGGCTTAAATCTAATCTTCTAAACAAAACATTGCCATGTGGTAGAGGACAGTTATGAGGCCAGGCAGAGATGTAGAAAGTGACGTATTGTATCAGGCATCCTGAGAGATGCCTTCCTATCCTTTTTCCTAGCCCTCCTATGTGACCTAGATGTTTGGGGATACTGGCAGGTCAAGGGACACATTAAAGACTTGAAATGGCACAACCATTGTGGGTGTGGGGATCTCTCTTCAAGGAAAGTTGGCCAAGCTCCTGAGACACTCGGCTATCAGTAGAAGTCCCCAGGGCCAGGCCAGCAGTACTTCTCTCACCCTCTTCTTCCTACTCTCTGGAAATGATAAAGGTAATGATGATGTGATGGTGGTGTTGGAGGTGACAGCAAGGACATAATACTACATGCTGGGCACTGTTCTAAACATCTTCCCTACACCAGCTCAGATAATCCTTGCAACAACCCTATTTAGTAGGTGCTTTCAATATCAGTATTTTTACAGATTAGGAGATGAGGTTAAGTAATTTTGCCCAAGGCCACACAAATAGTAAAAGTAGCAGAGCTGGCACATAAGCCCACATATTCTGGCTCCCAATTCTGGATTTGGAGAGTCACAAAGCCCAGGCTGCTCTGCAAGTCCCCAGTTGAAGACAGAGCTAGGGAAGAATCCAGTTCCCTTGCTGATTTGAATCACCCTTTACCAGGTGTGCTCCCTACCCTCTGGCTCCTTTAGAAAGTCACCCTCCCTGCTCCTTTTGAGCCCTAGCATCCCTTCCCCCAGGGAGGCAGCCCTTCCTGCCCTACCTGCCTCCAGCATAACCCTTCCCATCCCTCCTATCCCACACTCACCTTAAAACCCATTGGGCGGAGTTTACATGCTATTTCTGCATCATGCAGTGCATCTTCATGAGACTCCAAGGTGAAATAAATTTGAGAACGATTGCTATAAAGCAAGTGGTCATTTGGAGCTGCCAAAAAGAGAACACAAAAAAAGCCCCAATTAATGGCCCCCAGCACAAGCACGTGATAAGTCCTGGATGAGGATGGATCTTGAGCAAAGACACACCACTGAAGATTTTTCTACTGGGGATCCAAAGGGCTAAGCTCCATTTCCAGTCCTGGTATCATCCTGCCTTTCACATCCCCAGCTATTCTATGTCGGAGCTTCCCCAACTGCAAAGAAACCGTTTTTGTCCCCTCTCTCAAGCAGTTCCTTAGAGGTCTTGTGGTATTTAAGGTGCATTAGAAACTTTGACCTAGAGAAAATCCTGGAAGACTAGCTTCTGAGTGAGTCCAGGGAAGAAAAAGACAGAGGTAGCTAGATGTAAGCCCTATCCTAACCTCCAGCAAGGCAGTTCCACTTTAGTCTTCTAGGTGGCATGACTGGTAATTGCTAGCATTTCTCTCTAAAAGCCCAGCACATCTGAATGAAGCTTCCCTGAAGGAGATGGAAGTGTATTTACAAGATCCTTTATTCCCATTACAGGTGGCCAAATGTGAATGAACCTGGACAAGGCTTCTAAGAATAAGTGAGACTGAGTTGCACCAATGTTCAGAATCACAGAATCACTATTTGCTAGGCCCGGACAGGCCTTTATAGATCATCTGGTTCCACCAACCCATTTTTCAGTTGGGGAAATCAAAGCCAGAGAAGAGAAGGCATCTGCTCAAGGTCACACAGTTAGCTGGTTGGAGTCATTGCTAACTGTTCAGACTTTGAAGCTGGGATGGAGACAGGTTCCTTTTATTGAGGATGGGTACAGTACTTAGGATAATGAGACAATAGCCATCTGAAGAAGTCCCTTTTCCTCTTGGAGAGGCGGAAGCTGGTCTTGACACTTTTTTTTTTACCCTGACTGCTGTGAGTAGATTAACAAAAGTGCAGGGAAGACTGTCCAGGGCAAAGTGATGGCAGCAAAAATGGAGGAGGCGGCCAAGAAAAGGCTTTCTTGGCTGGCCCTTGGGGAATGACTAAAGAAATGGCCTACCCTTAGAGAGCTGTAATTTAATGGCTTTCCCCTGTTTCATTGATGCCCGGTTCTTCCCCAGGCGCTGGGCTCCACCTTCTGTTGCGGGCAGTAGGCTTTGACCCCCGCCCCCGCCCCCGCCCCCCAGGAGAGTGCTGAGGGCTTGCTTGGGTGCCTGCTATTTGCTCTTCAGACTTTAGCAAAGAGTTGACAGTCTTTCTTTTGCTTCTCTTCTGTAGCACACGCCAGCCCAGTGGCAGCTCCCAGCCTGCACTGTCTGCATGCAGATAGGGTGTGTGTATATGCGGGAGGGCTGGGGTCTTTCTTTCCCTCAAAGCTACCCTTGCCCAGTCAGTTCCTGGTCCGCTCCGTCCTTCATAACTTGTCGCAGGCCTGAGTGGGGATTGGACACATGGAGCCTGCAGCCCACTTCCTCCCCTCCCCCCTGGCAGAGCCAGGTCCAGGGCACCCTCGGATCCCTGAGCCCTGTCTACCTGGCCCTGTTGCCTCCTCCCTGGCATGCTTCACCGGCCACCGCGCCCCACCGGCCAGCAGAGCTGCTGGCAGCAGGCTCGAACGGGGCAATAAGGGCCGGCGGCTCAGAGGCCACTTCCTGGGTCCAGGAGTGGGGGAGGGACAGGAGCAAGCAGGTCCCCCGAGAACTCGGGGACTCCAATCCAGCTAGAGGTGTGGGACTGCCCACGCTGCCCGTGAAGTTGCAAAGCCCACCTTGGAAGCAGGATGCCCTCTCATGCTTCCTCAGGGATCCCGAGCTGGGCTGGCCGGGTTAAGGGGTTTGAGGCGACGGACGGTACAGGCTGCCTGCTGGCGGTAGCGGGGAGGGGCATCTATTTCAGCCAAGGATCGTGTGATAGGAAGCGGCGACAATGAGTCACAGGGCAGCGGGGCGCGAGCGCTCCCCTCCCTCTCCCCCTCCCCGCACCCGCTGGCGGGATGGTTTCCGAGGCGAGGCGAGGCGAGGCGAGGCGAGGCGAGCGTGGCCCACTTCGGTTACCTCAGCCGTTACACAATCCCGCCCGCCCGCGCGGAGGAGGGGCCGCCCGGCCCGGGGCGCTCGCGGCCCTTATGCAACCAGTGCTCTCCTGACCTAATTCCAGGCCGGACCCACCCCACAGGGAGCCGCGGCCCCGGAAGGGACAACTCCCAGAGGCGGGAGCGCCAGACGCAGGCGCCGACCGGACATCTCCGCCTGGCAAGAGCCAGGGAGACCTGGCGCGAGTGCGGGAAGGGTGCGAAGTTCCTCTCCTGGCAGGGAAGATGCCGGCAGGTGTAAGAGGGAGTCCGGACATGCAGGGAGGAAGGAGAGGCAGAGAAATAGAGAGGGTGACACCTCGCAAGATAAAAAGACTGACAAAGATGCAAAGAGTGAAAAAGGGACAGAGGTAAAAAGGTGACATGGACAGAAACAGAGACTGAGATACCCAGAACTCCCCCAAACTAACAGGAGATGAAGAAAAAACCAAAAGCAGCAGAGGCAGAGACCCAGGAGAAAGCTAAAGTGTGAAGGACAAAGTTCCAGAAATTCCCCCCCCTCCCCCCCGCTCTGCCCTGGGCAGGCCATGTTCCATCGCGGTCCCCCCACCCCCCTCCTCTGCCCTGGTCCATCCCCCATCTCCCAGCCCAGTTCATTCTCCCGCCCCCTCGCGTCGTGACCAAGCTCCCCCTGGCCCCGGGGGCGCTGAGAGTCTCACCCAGCTTCACTGCCTCGTTGTACTTGAGCAGCGCCGCCTCCACCTGGCGCTCGCGGTACAGCCGGTTGCCCTCGTGCCGGAGTTGCGACGCCCGCGCCGGGCCCGGGAACAACTTGCCGAGGAGGCCGCTGAGCACCACGTTGACCCGCAACGGCGGGGGCGCCTGCTGCCCAGCCCGCCGGGCCCCGCGCGCTCGTCCAGCGGCCACCATCAACGTGGAGAGTTTGACCCCACACAGCGCACAGCGCCGATCGGCTGCCCGCCCACGTTCCAAGCACAGTTTACAAAAGGTGTGTCCGCACGCCAAGGACACGGGATCTGATAGAAATCCTTGACACTTTCGGCACTTAAAGCCATCCCACACCTCGGTGGCCATGGCAGCCCCTGCCTCTTCCACTGCCACAGTGCAGCTTGCTTCGCTACTCAGGTCGGAGGACGCGGGCGCCAGCGCCTCATTTTGCGGGACTCTCTCTGCCAGGCAGCGCACCAGCTGCTCCAGCTGCTCGGCCACCAGCTGCTGCCGCGCAGAGAGCTGTCTGTACACCTCGAGGGCTTCCCGAAGGCGCCCCCCAGATGCCAAGGCACCGGCCTGTGTGAGTAGAACTTTGCATTCCGGCGGCGGCGAGGTCCTGGGAGGCTGCTCTTGTTCCAGCTCCCGCCTCTGTAGAGGTTCGGGGCTCTCCGCAGTCGCCTCCGGGTGGGCGCCCGAGTCTACTCCTGCTGCCGATGCCGCCCGCTCCGCTGGCTCCGCCAGCTCCAAGTTGTTGTGGCCGAGCCCTGCGGGCAAGCACAACATCTGTTCAGTCTGAAATGAATCCATAGAGAGAAAGAGAGAGAGAGAGGGACCAGCGCGAGGAAGAGGCGTCTAGGGACCGGGAACACGGAGCAAGGGGTGGCGCCTGGAAGGAATCGGGGCTGTCCCGGTCACCGTGCCGCCCGGCACTGAGCTCTGCCGCGCCTCCGCGAGCTCCATGCCGGCTGCCCCGCGCCGCCTAATAACTGTCTTGTCTCAGCAAAGTGTTATATAAAACGTCACCACGTGACGCGCCACCACGCTGCTCATTGGCCAGCGGCGGGGAAATTGTTACAAAACCAGACAGTTTTGTAACAGTGTTGCGCTTGCTTCTTTTGGCTTCGCTTTTCTTGGCTTCTTTTTGAGGTTGTTTGTGTTTACATACTGCCTTATTTCCGACTCGCAACTTGAGTCATTTTTAGAAGAGGGAGAGGAACTCAACCTCCTCTCTCAGGCTTTTCCGTCTCCAAAGCCAACCCCATCCCACCTCCAAACTGGCCAGCAAACAGGTCCCCTCTGCCAGCCGCTTGCTACCGCCCCCCGCCCCGCCCTGGAGAGGCTGATATCTGGGGGCGCGGTGCACAGGGTTTGCTGGACGGCCATGGCTCTCCCTCCAGGCGGCAACGGCTGCGCTCTTTGAAGGACGAGAGTTGATAGCCACATCCGAGAAGTCCTCACTAGAGAGCCCTAGGAGCCCCACTGTGGCTCCCGGCTTTCTTCGCAGAGCCCACGAAGGCTGTGAGTGCGGTTTCCCGCGGGATTTTGGTCTCCCGCGCAGGAAGTGCCTGGGAGCAGTTGGTCTGGCGGGCACAGAAGTTGGGCAGAGCTCTTGCTGGGAAGCAAGGAACACGCAGAGATGTGCTTTCTGACTTGGACCAGGGGAAGGCTCCCGGTTTGCCCTTCTCCTTCTCCCCCCACCCCCACCGCCGCCCCAACACCGGAACCAGCGCTGGGGCGGGCAGCCGGCGCCCAGCTGGAGACCCGTCGGCCCGCAGAGCCACCAGCCGGATGGGTGCGGCCAGAAGAACTGGGCCTGCTGGGTGGGTCCGGTGGGCACTCTGGGGGCGTGGGAGAGTGGCAGGCGAAAGACAGGAGCCAAGAGCAGCGCTACTCAGGAGAAAGTCCGCAATCCAGGCAAAGCCCAAAGGCCAAGGGAGAATTTTGACAGCGAGCGTCACAGTGGGGTGGCGTGGCTGCGTGGGAGGGGACACCTAGGCACAAGCTGCGGTGCCTGGTTCACAATGGCCAGGCGGCCTCGAGGCTACCTCGTACATTTTTAGACGGGCAGACTTGTGGCCAGCCGCACAGACTGTTTTGCCTCCTGCCTACCCCACATTTCAGACAGGAGCAACACGCACAAATCAGCAGACAGCCTAGGAGACCTTAGCTGAATAACTCACTTCCTAAGACCAGTTGCGCTGTTTCAGGGAGGGGGACAGGGTCTGGACTCACCCAGCCTCCCCTCCAGAGCCTGCGGGTCCTGGGCAGTTCTAGGAGCAGGAGTTGGAGCAGAGCACTGCCCCAGGGGCTGAAAACCTGAAGTTGGTGGTTTCAGCTGTAGCCACATCTTAACTGGGTGACCTTAGGCATATCACCTAAACTCTGAGACCCTCATTTTCACTTCTGAACAAATGACAAGGATGATCTTGGTTGTCATTAAGAAATACTTCAGAGTTGGGGACCCCCAAATTCATCCAGGGTCTGTCTCTTTACATCATTAATGCCACCTAGAGCCAACACCAAGGTCCCAGAGAACAGGTACTATGCAGCAAGCCCTAGAACCTCTCTCTGGTAAGGCAGGACAGGGAGAGAGTGATGGGGGAAAAGGAAGCAGCACATAGACCAAAGAAGAGAGTAGAGGGGAGAGGAGAAGGTTATTGGGAGATAACCTTTCATACATGTATGTAATATACTTGTAATATACATACGTGTATGGAAATAACCTAATGAAATCCTTTAAAACTAGAAAAGGGAAGGAAGTAGGAGGGATAAGAGTAATAGAGGGGGTGAATGTGATCAAATTACACTATATGCATGTATGGAAATATCAACAATGAAACCACTTTATACAATTACCATCCAGTAATACAAAAAAGAAGAGACCAAGAAAGAAACAGAGAAACTCAGTATATAGCCAGGAAGGCATGAGAAACAGGAAAACTTGGTTTGAAGCCCTGGCTTTGTCATGACTTGCTATGAGACATTGGGCAACTCCTTCAGGATTTAGCATCTCCTGATCTCCAAGGTTCCCTTCAGCCCTAACCTTGAGTGGCCTTGATTCTAAAACCAGATTTCAGGATGCTAACTCAACTACTTAAATATAAACAACTATTCCAGATGAAGTGCGTGGTGGCTGGTGTTGGAGATTGAAGTCACCAGCAGAAGTGGCAGGACAGGGCCGACTAGAAGGCTGTCCTCTGCCAGAGTCATGCCTGAGCTAGGTTTTGAACATAGGGAAGTCAGTCAAGGGACTGGCCAAGTGGTAGAAGAGGTGGCTGTGACAGGCAACGGGGAAGAAGCTGGAGCCTCTGGTGACTTGCTGTCTGAGGGCTCCTTTCACCCCTCAGTTTCCCCTGCTGTTAAATGGGATCCCCGCCACTAATTATCTGCCTACCCCTTCTGGCATCTGTGAGAAGGGACAGGCTGTAGGGCAGGCAAGGACATTTATATGAAAGACCATGAATAAATGATGAAAACCTTAATTCATAAGAGCTTTATCCTTTTGACATGTCTAAAAAATGGATGTTTATTACTCAATATTGTCTTCTAGATACAGATCTGGGATATCCTTGCTCCTTGGACCACCTTGGCAAGGGAGCACCCCCTGGGTTCATTTTCCCACCTTAATCTGTTGGTAACAGGGAAAATGAGAAGGTGAGGTCACAGTCCTGTAGGCATGGAAAAGAGATGTGATCTCCAGGCAGCCTCTCTTGGCAGTTGCACGTGCGAGAGGCTGGCCATGAACTTGATCAAGACTGTTAATAGCTGTCAGGGTGATACAAGGTGTGCTGGTGCAGAAGGCACCACCTAGCCACTAGTCAGAATCCACAGGGAGTTTTCCACTGTGTTGCATTGTAATCAGCACTGTGTGTGGCACAGCACCAAATGGGTTTCTACTGAATTCTAGAAAACTTGACACAGTGGTTTTCTTTCTTATTAAAGTTAGACAAATATTACCTTGATATACATTTGTGGATCAACTCAAAAGTCTCCTACTCAAAATTTCCTCCTCCCTGATCTAATAATTAGAGCCCCTGGAAGGAGGGCAGGGGAAGGTTGGCAACTATTTTGGATTCAGATATTCCCATTGGAAGACCAGATTCTTCTATTTATTTTGCTGATTGCACTTGGCTAAAGTGAACCAGGAAGAGGAAGCAAGAATTGAACTACCCCTCATTTTCACTGACTACAGCAACAGTTTTCCAATTAGGCTCTGAGGAACCTCCCTGGACCCCAGATGAGAGAGTGGGCAGGACTCAGGACTCAACTCTCCCTCCCCTCAGCCAGGGCAACTTCCCATCCGTCTGCTTCATGTAGTGAGCTTCTAGGTATAATTTCATTTAAGCTTACCCTTTAAAATAAAAAGGTTGAAAGCCACGGTAATTTTCACCCAGTTTTGCATATTCGTTGAACATCTTCTATGGGTCAGACACTGTTCCAGGCACTGGAGATAGAAGAGCCCTTAGCTCCCAGGTCCTTCCTGACATAGTATAGTACATCTTTCCCCCATGCGTTCTTATACTGGCTTCTTGTGTGGACGAGATGCTATGGGCAGGGTGGGGTGAAGGATTGGTGTCTTGTGTCTTTCTTGTCCTGCTCAGAAGACAGTGTTTGAACAGATCTTACTGGCACTGATTGGAAGTGCTACGGAGGGGAAAAAGGAAACTCAGTTGAAAAGTACCTTTGCCCTTTCTCATTTATAAAGGAGAGAGCAAGAGAGTGTGCATGCACATAATTGAATGGTTGACAATCCTGTCCTTGCAAAGGACTGCTAAGGAGCTCTGTGATGGAACAGTCTGGTCAAACCGAGGGACATGGAGTGAGGAGTGAGAACACATACACACACACACACACACACACACACAGTGCATGGAAGCTTGGTCAAAGCATACACTTGCTCTCTGAGTTTCTCATTTCATAAACTGAGACCCACTTATAGTCTTTACAGGGAAAATAAGATAGCATGGGCATTAAAGGCATTCACATGGGAAAAAAGAAGACTCCCCTTTGCTATATAGAGTAGCTCAAACCCAGCATTACCCAAAATCAGCAGCTCTGGTTTAACAGATGAGTACAGTGAGTACCAGAGAAGGATAAGGACTTGTTGCAGGTCACAGTGGGGGTTTGGACACAGCCAGGATTGGAAGCTACAATTCCTGTCTCTTTGTTTAGAGTTTTTCGACATCATCAGAAAGCTTTCAAAGGACACAGAACATCTCTCCAAATAAGTAAGAAATTATTTCAGATTTTCTACCTACAAGACTTCCATCAATTCAGTAAGTATTCATTGAACATGTACTGTGTGCTAACGGAGCTGGCATTTGTAGAGCAGTTAAAAGAAAGATATGACACAGTCCTTATCCTTCACAGAGGAAACAAGAGGTAAAGATTTGAAACAGTTAAGTAAAAACAACAGGCAGTACTTAAGAAATGCCAACATGGGAGGACCAGAGTGTCCAAGGGCGTAATCAAGGAGGACAGACAGTGGGGTTTACCATTTTACAGACAGAAAGTGTCTTGAAGCTAGGTGGGAGAGGATTTAAATAGCTGCTTCTCAAATCAAGGGGGCTCCCTTCAGATTGGGGGCGGGGTGGCCTAGGAAAAGGAGGAGAATTCCAAGTACATTGGGCTGGCCAAGGTCCAGGATCTGTGTGTGTGTATCTGGTGCTGGGGATGGTGCTGGGCCTTGCACACGCTGTGCAAGTGCTGTACCACTGAACTACATCCCCAGCCCTGGAATTTGTAGTTTTAAAGGCTACCCACATGATTGTGATGCTCAGCTAGGCTTGGTGTTCACCTGTGTAAAGGATGGTGCAGAGCAGACTACACCCCGATGCTTTTCTCCCTACCTCAGTGATGTGTTCAAGGTCACTCAGCAAGTAGTAGGAATGCTGGTCTCCTGCCAGAGTTCAGTAGAAACAAGATCACAAAATACCATCCCAAGGAAGATTTGCTTCACTTCTCTGCTA